CATGTGCCATCGTTTATTTCCCCCTCAGCGATAGTTGATGTTTTTTTAAATGACAGTTTAGCCAAAATTTCCATACTGGGCATTCTAAATAGCTTTTTAGGCTTTAATTGTTGATGAATTCGGTTTGTTAATGTTAATTCAGCATTAACAAAACTGTATATTATTGTTTTTTGTTGTTCCCAACGAACACAAAACTCTTGCGTGTTAGTCAGGGACGATCGAATGTACTTCATCGGTTCAGCACACTATGCTACGTGGATCTTTAAGGCAACAGTTATATCGATAAGATATTTTCATCAGGGACAAAAAACGTCTCACGAGTTATCGGTATAAGAAAATCCCTCATTTGATAGTGATGTCTAAATTTGGGATTAAAACAGGAACGCTTAATGTTATCAAATGTTGATCATCTCCAATTCGTCGTTGTAAATAAATCAGTCATGAATTTACTTGCCTAATCACTCACTCACTGAACAATGCATTTGAAAAATCTGTTCAACGAATTCGCAACTAGAAGACGACATAAACCCATTGCTTCACTGCTTTTTCGCACTCCTTCAATCTCGATTACTTGATAATTTGTGATAATCCATGAAGTAATGTGTACTGTTGGAGATTTATTTCGTGTTTTTTTTTTGTTCCAATTAAACGAAGTGTTGAGATGCATTTTGCTGATGGATCTATACAGTGTTAAAGTGTATTAAGAGTTTGTCATTTCTTCGAAAGCATTTCAAGAGATTGCATATTTCAATATGCAATTTCATGATCATTAANAACGTGGAAGTCTCACTGACAAATTCAAAGGTAATGTTCACAAAACTGTAGCAATAACCCAGTTTAAACGATAGCAGCAATTCAACAATAAACGATGAGAGGTAGTTTCGAGTGACAAGACAAACCTTCAGCGGGCATAACCATCGCTGCATCATCAAGTCGTCGATATGATGCATTGAACATTCGACCTGACATTGTGCTCGACATAGTTGTTCCGTATCGAACGTATGAATATAGACTGGATATTCATCTAGAAGACCGCCGCCAGCGTTACCGGAACGTGCCCGAGTGACACGAAAACGATGCCCATAAAGTTGTGTCAACGTGCAACTTAGTATGAGTAGTGAGATTAGCTTTCGCGTAAATACAGCGCGCATAGCATCGTTCCTCAACGCAGCAAACACGTTCTGTTCCGAAACAAACGTCTGGATTGTTCTTGTTTCGTGTGAAGGTTCACAGCTAAACAGGTGAACGTTTGACGGACAGGTAATCTGCAAGAAATACGCAATATTTTTCTGAAATATCCCATCTTCATCTTTTGCAATTGATTATCAAATGGTTTAAAACGGTAAACTTTAAGGCAAGGAAAGAAACACATCGCAAAACGACAGCAAAACAAGTTAAATACAAAAACATTTCAGAGCGATTCATTAACATTCGATCTGAAAATGCAATACAATCGCATTATATCTTCATCATATGTATTCCATACAGAATATTCGAATAATTTACACGTTCCATTTTTTCACAACTATTTTCGAACCGTTCCTCATGGAATTAATTAATGATACATATTCCTATCTGTATGCATAAATTTACTAATACAATACACACGTGCAATATACAAGTTGAGAGCAGTTGCATTTTTCGGTTGTATGCGAAGAGTTTTTGGTTTAGTAACGTTAACGTATAGTTTGTTCCTTTGCATTTGCTGTCAGATTGCGCTATGCGTGAAGATCAAAATGAATGATAGGTAAACGTCGAAATTCTTCGAAATGAGTAGTCAGTTCAAAACGTGTCCTTAAACGGTTCATAACAACCAACAAGCGGATTACTTTCTCAAACCCAACTGCCACTTCCCATCATCCCTGGCAGTCATTTTATATCTCAGATACGGAATTCATATGACAAGCAAACGCACACTACCCATATTTTAGACAATACACGAACATACGTTGAATAATCCTGCTTTGCACTGCATACGTTC